CTCTCTCTCTCTCTCTCTCTCTCTCTCTCTCTCTCTCTCGTCGCTTCTCTGCGCTGTATCTATTTGGTGATGATGTGAAGTTATGTCGCTGCGCATAATGTCGCTCCGGGGCGGAAAGCTGGTTTGTATTCGGGAAGTGAACTCCGCGCGAAAGCAGGTCACAATGAACTTCTATAGTGAAAATAAGCATCCTACGAGGTTACCTACAAACAAACTATTTAAACAGATATTTATAATGTGAAAAGTATTTTCACATTACTGAAATGCGCTGAGTAAATTTCGGAGAGAGCACTACTGATCTGGAAATGTTATTTAATTCGACCATAGAAGAATGATATCTGTATCCAGACCACATTTTGAAACAAAATTGAATGTACGCAGCAATAATATTACCGAAGAATGTTTTATTACTATTTTTATATTCAAAGCAGACAGCATAGTTATTCAATATAACAAAAATGTTGCCCTGCGATACAAAAAATGTTTAAGTTTTATATTTATATCATATTATTTATATTATTTTTTTATTGCATTTAATAAGATATTAATTTATATTTTATCTCTTTTTAAGTAAATGTACATAATATATTTCTTATTTTTGACGTTTGGAAAGCACTGATCAAAAGTGATAAGGATGGAAGTCAATTGAAAGATTTTTCTATTCGCTATTGTGAATTGTGTACGTGTGTGCGCATCCTCTCAGTAATCTATCTTCTTAAAGTCTACTATTTTTATTCGAAAATTGGATATTTTCGTGCACGTAGGATTCAATCTGCAGCAGTAGCCGATAGATCCGTACGTAGAATCTTTCTCGTACAAAGAATGACTTTCGAATGCGTAGAAATCAGATTACATTGACCAATACATTTCAAGATTACCGCGGAAATCTTATTCGGAAATTGCGAAGTACCGAGTTCACAGGACTTGCTATCGTCTGCGAAATAAGATTGCAATTCGCAATTGCTATGACCTTCTGAATTACTTATTAAACGACTGTTTTTATTTTGAATTCCATTATAGAATTCATTTAGAATTTTAGATGAATATTACGCGAAAGTAGGGCAAGTTGAAAATAGAACGACTCTTGTATTTTCTGCACTTTAGATTTCTTTTCAAGATAGTTTGAGATTATGTTTCAAGATAGAATAAAGAAGGTGGAATAAAATTGTACTTTATGTCACTTTAATTCGATCTGCTTGCGGTGCAACAATGGTTCTAATGTCTTTGATTTTTCTTTCCTTTTTTTGGTGTTTCTCTGTGATATCACAGAGTATATCGACCTGGTGGCATTGACACTAATTGTCACTTAATACCTGTTTCAGATACTCCATCGTTCGCGATAACGCGTTTACCTGGTTTTGGAATTCCGATCGTCGAGGGGATGTCTGTCAGCCTGAAATGCGAGGTAGACAGCAATCCAGCCAGTACTCCAATTTGGCAGCGCGGTAAGTGGCAAGCGAAAAAAAGGAATGGAATTCGCGCGCGCGCGGTGCGTTTCGTCTGGTTTCTCGAATTGGATCCGGAAGGACAACTAACTTACTAATTTAATCAAGTTTAGATACGTTTCGCGCAAAGCAATCCTGTGTAAAAATATAACATTTTTTACACTTTTTAACTTTTAAATCGTGCATTATGCGGAACAGAAGGAAGTATGTTTTATTATTTATTTGATACTTATTTTCTTTTTTATTTACTTTCTTAGTTTCTGTTTGGTTCTTTATTATGTGAAAAAATGAAAAATTGCATTTTTTTTAACTAACGATGCAATGACACTCGTTATTCATGCTGGATTATTTGCAAGGATATTGAATGGATTGTGTATTTATTCATTCCGAGCCATGCGTATTCATCACAATCAACATAAAATATATACATATATAAATAAACATATTCATTTACTTGTAAGTTTTTAGGAAAGAATAGTTTGAAGGAGAATTAGTTAATATAAATAAAGTAATTATAGTTAATATAAATAAAGATTAAGTTGGTAAATCAATATCGTTAATATATTTTTTTTTATTAATTAACGCCACTCGTTTCCTCGCACGAAGTTCTGGCGATCTCAAAACAGACCGTTATGATAAATGTATTATACGTTTATTATACACATATTACGTTACATTTTATCTTTTATTTAAACTCTACCATTTGAATGGCGTGGAGATTAACTCTTCTCAGCAGTAACGTTATCCGTATTTTCCACGGCGGGTAAATTTTTGGCGATTTAAATACGTCCGGTAATGAGATTTTTAATGAGTTACCGCCGCTACAAACAGCCCCTTACCCGAAGCAAATTTCAACCTAGTAATTTACATTGTACATAAACAAATGCGCCAATTATTTATTAATTTCAATTAGATTCTACCTTGATAAAATATGAAGATATTGCCGGCTTTTATGAATTCTCGAAAATTCAATAATGCATGTCACATGTGAATTAAGATAGTTATTTTTAGATATTCTTTCCAATCTCAAACAAGTTTTTTATTTTTATATAAAATTAAAATCTGAACATTAGTTACGATTAGATATATTCAAGACTGACTGCGATAAAGTTGATGAAATAACGCACAATAATCTTTTATGAGATCTTTAGCAGGACAAACATCAATTACGAGCTAATCGAAGAGAGAGAATTTTTTTAACCGAAAGTAGCAGCAGCAGAAGCTTGAAAAGAAATTCAACCTTTTTTTAATCCTTCTTTTTAACATTGTTTCGAAAGTTTACGACTTAGAAAGGGTGCTTTCAGTATGTCCCGTATATATGTACGACATATATTCGCAGGCAGTGTTTTGGCAGACGGCGAGTTGCGAAGCGCACGTGCATTATTTCGTGCAACTCCCCATTCCCTACAGCTAGGAAACGCGTCACGTTGTAGGTAGACACGTTAGCGCGGGCACGTGTAACGGCAACGTGAGCATAATTTAATCACTGTAAACAGGCACTTGGATGGGATGGAATCTGATGCACATGACCCTCGGCGTAATATCGGCCTCGTAATAACTCTAAAGGAGATGTAACTTATCTGTAAACGCACGCGTCAATGCACTGATAAGCGTAACACGGCTCTAATTGAATTATCGAGTTATCCTCTCGCGTTAACCCTTTCTAAACAAGATGTTCTTATCGATTCGCGAAAAACGCGGCTTATGTGATGCGCGTGTAACCACAAACTACTAATGGGATCGTAAAAATGGCTTACTTGATTAAATTTGTATTATTATGAGGAGAATTTGGTTCTTCCTCATGTAAAATAAATGAGCTAACAATGCGATTGCGGTATTGAAATTGAAAGACTAATTGTGTAGATAATAGAGAACGTGAGCTGACAATTATATGCGAATTTTACTAGTTATATGTATATATTATAATATTATAATTATCGCATGGTGCGCAAATAATGTTTCGAAGTAATAATATTGTAAGCGCCATTCTTAATGTATTATACCTTGCAAAATGCACTCTCCATAGAGCCGGAGACTTTCCCCTATTTCCATGCGAAATCCGCTATAACGTAACAATCGTGCATTCATTCCTCGAGAGAAGTAATTCTCGCGTAATTAAACCATTACCAACGATATGCTTAGGTGAGTCAAACGCATGTCGCCGCTCGCGGCATAATAACGTCGTCCTTAGCTTAGGAGTTTGAGGAAGACGAGGGAGGGTTCCGAAGTTCTCTGCATTCACGCGATTTCCGTCAACCTTGTCGTCTCTCAGCGTCTCACCTCCCCTAAATCTCGGGGATCCCGGGCTCGAGAGTCGGGGCGGGAGGTAAGGTGGTACATCCCATAATCACATTATTACGTACCGCAACGGGCGCGACAACTCTACCACACAGACGCCGGCAGAAATCGGGACAATGGACAACCCCACGCCGTCGCCGGTCCCTTTCATCCCGGCAATTCTCGCCGGCGCGGCGCGGCGCGGTGCGGCGCGCTTTCATTCGGCTCCCGATAGACAGGTGTACGCGCTCGATATTATCCCCGTCTCGATGCACTACTACACGCGGCTGCAAGCCGCGCCTATTTCCGCACTGTAAATTTCGTGCCGGCGTTAAAGGGAGACTTGGCTGGCGCGCCGTGCGCCTCGTCGTCGTGCCGTACACGAGCAACGTCGAGGAAGCTGTTACGCGACGCGTGATATCGGAGCAGCACGTTGCTCCATCTGATCTGCCCTATTGGCCGGCACTTGTGCGAGAGAAAGAGATAAGATAACGGGAGCGATTACGCGGATACATCAGATGCGACGTGAATGCATCGCAATGTACCAGGAATCAGAACAAAGGAATTGTGTATCTACTGGTTAACAATTGCAATAACTTATTGTTTTATTAACATCAAATTGAAATATATTCTATAACGTACTATTCGTATAATGTGCATATATACTCTTACAGAAAAAAAACATTATTTATGTGTAGAACAATCATGTGCGAACATTGTTTTTTATTATTTAAAACGTGAATAATATCGTTACTTTATATTTGACATTATAATTAATCAAAATGCAACTTGTGGTAACCTGTGTGTTCCAAAAAATAAAATATTTTGGATATTGTAAGGAAAAAGTCATTCTAAAATATAATTGAGCTTATTTACTTTTTGCAATGATCGCAAGAACTCTCTTCTAGTATTTAATAACAATAATTAATTTATCAAATAATCTCTATATACATATATAAAATGGTTGATCTTGATGAAGATGAGTAACAATATGACACCGTAACGACGGATTACATAGTCTTGCACTTCAAATGTAAAGTAACTAAAGATTATCGTGATTTGCAGCACTGTGTTTCGCGTTATAATTAATTCGTATTAAAATTTACAAAAAGACGAACGAAAGGGGGTACTCAGACGCATAGACTCATTACCATTTGACTGTTCTTTGTCGTGGGAGAACTCACCGGCCGCGGCCGCTTCTACGGCCTGATAAATATTTAAAACTGTTTATAATTTCCTCCTTCCTGTGAGCAGTTCCTGAACGTTTCATGGCACTTTTAATCCCACCGTTATTTCATATTCCAAGCTTAATCTGCCTTATCTCCCCCAATCGAGGTGTTCATTGATTGGAATAAGCGATATAAATCCGCGTTCCGTGAGAAATTATCATCGTAGCGAAGCAGAAGAAATAAAATTTCTACGGAGCAAAAAGATATAATTGACATCATCTGAAAATTAACGATGAATAAACGTGAATTGTGAAAGAAGAAATTTATACATACATATTTTTTTTTATCAGAGACATCAATTTTACTTCAATTTCAATGGAGATTAAAGATTAATAGTGCAAAGTTAAACTGCATGCACTAAATGGAGATAATAAATAATTATACTTTCTTTCCGTTGCCACATATCGCTCATGGCGCTTCACCTTGGTTACTTTATTAAGTTAGTGACTTTCATGAAGCAATTTCTCAACTTGATGCCTTCAGCTAATGGGGAGTAAAGCAGTAAAATTTTAATAATCTCGCTGATTTTATATATCTTTCTAAAAATCCCGTTTATATAATTCATAAAACCGCACTCGATTGGTTACAGGTAGTGTGATCAAAAATTAAAAAATTGTTAAGAGTGTATAACTTAAAAAAAATATAGATCTATTGAAGCAGAGCTTTATCTTCCCTTTAATTTCACAAAGTAGACTTTTATTAGTAGCAGCAATTCAATTTGGATTACTGCAGTTAAGATATTAATATTGAAAATAAAAAAGCAGTAGGAAAAGATAAGATCTTTGGGCGAAAGAAAACTCTTTTCAAAGAGGTAAAGTCCGAAAAAGGGAGATACTCCGTCTAAGATACTCCGTATACGAATCGTTCATGAAAAACACAGCAAAGTAATTTCGATAAAGTACATCGGCTGCTGCCGGATATCTGCTTTCAGCTTCGCGTGCGGAAAGCAATATTATCCACGTCATCGTTTTTCATGAGTCGTACAATTTTGCATAATGGACACCGCGTAAACACATACGTCCATCAAAGAAAGGCGCGCAATAACGTTTATTTTTATGAACCTTTCGCCAAGAAAGTGCGTATGTGAAAAGATTGTCTTTTCAACAGCGATGCATCATCATAGATATATGAAATGCAGTGGCGCATATTTATACACATTTAAAGAAATGCTTCAAACTCAATACTATTTAAAAATCAGTAAGCTATTAAAATGATTTTTATCTCGCAAAGAGTCGATACCATTTTTATTAATAAAGAGATACGCATAAAAATCGGCAGAGTTTCAGAAAACATTCGTTTATTATGTGTGTATTTTAATGGTCAGACCATGGCACGCTTTACCAAAAACGTTTTGCTGTCGTATTACACAACGAAAATATGGAATCGCATGAAATCCAGCACTATAAATTTCACAATACGCCGTTGTAGTCACGGTATTAAATTTCGGTTACGTTATATCCGTGTCACAAATACGGCTCTCAATATACATATATA